AGTAATAAACATATATTAGTAAAAGTATTACTAAAACAAATTAGATACATTTATCTAGAAAATGTACTAAAATTTTTAATTTTTTATTAAAATTTGAAAGTTTTAGAGCTAATTGAATAAAACAATATAAGAAATGTTACATTTTTTATGAGACCATTATTTAAATAACAAGTGATAACTTAAAAAAGTATTCATACAATAAGAAATATTTTAGTACATTCTCTAGAAAATAAACATAAATATCAAGTTCAAAAAGTTTTATAGAAATACATTCGTAATATTTTGAGTTATCAGACTCGCCATGATAGATTTTGAGCAATTTAAATGCCCACTTCTGGTAGATCAAAAACCCACTTCCGGTTTTTCTAAATTTATAAAATTGATTGCAACTTGACCTCTAAGTTAGTATAGAAACAAAAAAAAGTATGTTTCGTAAAGTCAAAAAAGATAGCTCTATTCAATAAAATAAAAAAAAATAAAAATATCTGTCTTGACTGAATTTGGTCATTTTCAAAGTGTTCGGATACCTTAAGTCAGTAATATAGGTTCAAGAGTGATTGACATATTGTTTATTAACATAGTCCTGAAAAGCAATTCGAGGTTTATTAGCAAAGGATGTATTAATTTTGAGCCGCGATCAAGCGACGAAAACGATACCTCAGATGGTAGTTCAAATTTCTCCATTACGACTACATGAGGAATTGGGGCCTTGACAGAGAGAGAGACTAAGTGGTTTTAAGGGACATCGACTGCAACAACGGAACCACGCCATTCCTCAATCGTGGTTGCAATACACATTTCATTTAAAAACTCGGAAATCCGTAAATCAACCGGTATTTAAAACAGTTTGTACGTGTGGCTTGAATTGAGTTTTTTGCTAACGATCGACTGACGAAGACGTTACACGAACTAACACCCCAATTTCCAAAGTTCCACCCAACACCTACGTGAAAAATTTGATTAACATATTTAACATGTATCAAGCCTAAACACGAAAATATCCAGTCCAGGTCATGTGTACCAGGACTCGAACCTATTACTCGACAACGTTCACCACCATAATAACTCGGCTACTATGGTTATTCATATATCGTGAACAAACATAGTACGAACACCAAAAAAAGAAAATCAGCCAGTCAATCTCAACTCTGAATAAATCAAAATGCTGTATATACCATTCTCGCGAATTATTTGTTTGAAAGTCAATGCCTAATGCGTCATTGAGTTATTGATCATCGATCTATGCAAATATTATTGAGTTTGTATTCATAATACATTCAAAATTATAGATATTTTAATTTTTACATCGGGAGAAAAACCAGTGCTATATATTTTTTAAAAAAATTATCTCTTGAATCTTCATAATATGAAATGTTCTGATAACATTTTCCGTTGATGAAATTACATTCTTTAGATTCCTATTACTGAAAAATTTGGATTGTCTTTACCATTTTCATTTGTTCTGGTGTGAAAATAAAAATGTTTCTCATCAAAATACTGATAATGCTGTTAAACAAATTTGTGCCGAGAACTTTAATTGTAAATAATATTTATATTCCTTATATCATGTGGATTTTCGGTTGCATTGGTTACTCTCTTACATTCAACTGAGTCGAATGTTTCGCCTGAATGTAATATCCTTTTTTATTTTTGTTGTTACAAAAGAAGATGCATGTTAAATTCTAGTTTCTCAAAGGAAGTTAACAAAAACAGAAATAAATGAAAATCTTGGCATTTGTGTGTATATATTTTTAACTTTTATTATGGCACTGATAATGCACTACAAAAATGTTTGATGTATGTTTGATTTCTCTTTCTTGCTATTTTAGTGTTCTCCTTGCAGTAATTTTAAGTTAAAAGTTACTGTTTTTCCTTTTTGAAAAGATTAAACCATTTCTAACTATCAAACAATATCAATTTTTATTCTAATTTTGCTCACATTGACGATGATCAAAACATTCTATTTTTCTATATCTTTTTATTTTTAAGGCTCTCATTTTCATTCCCGGTGTATAACGCGTACCCATGAATTTCGCTCTTATTTTTTGAGTTAAAAATGCGCGTTATACGCCGGATTTTACGGTACTTTTTATAGCAAATCTGCATCTAATGGTTTCCAAAACAGTGGCCTCTGTAGGAAACTGGTTGTGAAATTGTTGCTGGGAGTATCGCAGGCTCGAGTACCGGTGCCGGTAAAGACCCGCCTGCAGAGAGGGCCAATGTGCTTGCTAAATCTATCGAGATTAAAGTCCTCCTGTTGGCGTGGAGGGGCATTTTTAGAGAGGGGATGCTAACTCTAGAGTCGCTCTCATCACTTGACCAAAATTCAAAATGCCAATTTTCCTTGTGCTGCTTTAAAGCACGATGTTAATATAACACTCACTCACTGAGTGTTTTCGTTAACAATTACTTCTTAGAATTCTAAAAACTACATCTTCAAATTAATGTTTATAACTTGAGTAAATTAACATAGTTTTGAGTTTCTTTAAGGTGTATATTGTGTGTGTGTGTTTTTTTTACGCTGAAATATAAAATTGTGGAAGACCCAGATGTATTTCTTGACTTGCCACATAAATTTCAATATCAAAACTTTCTTCCCCCAATGAATCTGTGGAAGGTTTTAAATAATCAATATTTACTATTAAAACGTAATCTGAAACTTCTTGTCGTTATCCCTTAATCTCTAAGATTATTATGCAAAGAAAACGAATGCTTATCGCTATCCTGAATTATCTATGGATAAGAATTGGTAAAGGAGAATGAAAATTTTCGTTTTATTCCTTTTTAATTTTTCTTTATTGAATTGGATATCTTGGATACTATTCAAAGATCATGTGGCCTGAATTAAAATTGTAAAAATTAATTCTTCCTTTGATGCCAAATAACTGTTTTCTACTTAAGAACTCGTCTGCAGCTTTTCATAATTTGGACATGAATTTTGCAATCTACTCAAGATATTTCCTGTTTGATAGTGTTGTATAACAGACTCGATTAAAATTATACTAAGAAAAAAAGTTTTTCGAGAGTACTTTTCTATGACATACTTTGGCACATGATTCAAGCAGCCATTTTTTTCATCTGCCTTGAGATAATGAAAATTATTACAGGACGATATATTCTTTTTTTAATTCCTCTTCACTTATTCACTTGAAGAGATTCCAATATAGTTCATTTCTGTCGTTAATAACTTTCCTGGTTTTTATTAGTTTGGACATGATTCATTTGATGTCCCAATGCCAAATAGGACAGCTCATTTTAGTCTTGTTATATGGGTTTTAGATGAATTTATTTTCAGGCTTCAATCTAGGATCGATTTAAAGTAAGATTTTGATTTATTGCGATTAAACTGATTGATATTGCGTTATAAAATGGACTGTCGCGGATAAATCAGTCCTTTGTTGTTTTGAGTAAATAATTATGGTTATAAAAGTCATCCAAATCAACTCTGAAAATTTTCAATTTGACCGAGATTAACATTTGATCAATTAATTAGTCTGATTGACAGAAGAACTATATCTGGACAAACTGCTGCAGATACTTAACTTTAAAAAAAAAAACGGAGCTTCTGTTTGTAAGACTAAACTATTCTACTGAAACTAGAAAGGAAGAAAAGGAGTAGGGATGGATTGAGAGGAAATTCCTAGGGGGTCATAGGGACTCGTCATGATGAGGATTCATATTACCACATAATGAATGAATGAAATTAAGAATAATTATATTTTATCAGAGAGAAAAGACGATACACACACACCGTTAGAAATAGTCCCACATATGACTATTTATTCTTTGAAATTTAAAGTTTTCCGAATTTTATCCCGTAAGTGGGTGTGGTAGCTAGGAGAGGGGGAGGCCGACTCAGGTGTCCTCCTCGTCACTTAACCATAGTTCAAAATTACGAGGTCAGTTGCCAAAAGCTCTCGTGTAGCTCAACAGTGCAACTTATATATATATATATATATATATATATATAAATATTCACTCCTCACTCACCTCCTTTTTTCGTTTGCGTCGTCACAGATATACTCAGGTGTCAACGGTGGTTAAAAAGTAAAAATCCCATCCTTAATGTCTCGTATTCTTTCTCATTTGATTTGATGTTAAATTATTTAGCTCTTCGAATCAACTCAAGGGTTAGTGTCGACGACGATCTCGCAATTTTGAACCTCCGTCAAATGATGAGGTCGACACCTGAGCTGATACTCTTCTTTCTCCAAGATTCCACACCAAACAACAAGAGGATTTTGAGCTTCAAAAGATTTTACGAGTATCAAGCGCCTCTACACAGCAGGTCTTCAATGGCGTTATATTTCGAGCTCTCGACTTGAGAATGTTTGCCACGAGTTCGTGACCATGACCTCACGGCTACCGAGTCTACTCCGTATTCTTTCACCCTGTGACGTTAATATTGATTATAATGAATCACAGATTATTTGATTATGTATTAAACATTAATGATCAAAGCAACACGAGATCTATACGCAAGAAACATCTTAATTTTAAGGCACGGTCTAGCAACGAAGTCGACACATGAGCAGGCAACTCACTCTTCAAAGTTACCCACTAAGCCAACATGAGGAATTTTGATTTCGACAGTTTTAACATGTATCAGCCCAAAGAGTTGCTTTTTGACCTAATCGACTGAAACTACGCCAGCCAAGAATTTTTCGATCGTCATCATTAACCACAACAGTAATATACATTTAAACAAGTAATATAAAAAAAGTTTTAAGTCAATTCCAACTTAGGTCAACAAAGAAAAGTTTTATTTTAGTTACATTTTATTGAAGAGTTACAATTCATATAAATATAAGTGATTAAATCCCGCTTAATTCGTATAATATTAAGTGACAAAATAGAAAGCGATTTTCCTTGTAATATTTTCCGTTTTCCTTCTTATATATAATGTTAGACTATTTTTTCTTACTATTTATTCATTAATCAATTTTAATTATTCTTAAAGTAGTATAGTAAAAAAGAAATCCCATTCTCAAAAATTAGGCCATCCCAGGTGGGATTCGAACCGACGACCTTTGGATTAGAAGCCCAACGCGCTATCCATTGCGCTACAGGGACAAAAGGGGGACGATTTTCCTTCCTATATATGCTGTCGGACTCATATTTTTGTTTGTTACTATTAATTCATTTTTTAGTTTAATGAATGAATTAATATTTGAAAAAACTGTGTTAACACCAAATATACCATCCGTTACAAGTTTTAAAAAATGTATTTGAACTTAAATGGATAAATAGGAAGTATTTTATTAACGATTGAAAATTTTAACAAGGTGTGTGTGTGTGTGTGATAATTCCAGTAATATAATCCTTTTAAATTTCTTTTAATTACCTATGGTCCATCCCTTCAGAACCCACATTTTAGTAATAAATTAGCCAGCCGCCTAACGAGAGTATTTTAAGCTACATCTATCCACCCACTCAGATCATGTGATTTAAGCTGCCTATAAATACTGAGATTCCTGGAGACCGTCTCTCTCTCCCTTTTGTTATTTGTCTGCCTTTAGCATGTAGTCGGCTGCAGCTCATTGTGCATTCATTTTCTTTGTTGTGTATTGTGTCGTCGTTGTTATGCTTTGCGTTTAACATGCTTATATGTTTCAAGATGTGGAGTAAAACAGATTTAAATAACCACAGGACAGCCTCGTCAATCCCTCCCACCCAAAGAAAACATCCAACCATCATAAATAATGATCTAATTAAGGAATCCTTCACACTCGCCGAATAGTGATACTCAAATAATTTCGTGTGTGTGTGTGTGTGTGTGTGTGTGTGTGTGTGTGTGTGTGTGTGTGTGTGTGTGTGTGTGTGTGTGTGTGTGTGTGTGTGTGTGTGTGTGTGTGTGTGAAGAAAGTGAACTATAATAGTAGAAATTTAAAAATATTTACGGGTGAGTGAGTGAATATTTACTAACGTTTCACTAAAAGACAAATCGAGAGCTATTGGAGAAAGACATAATAATTTTGAATAACAATCAAGTGATGAGGACCACACCTGAGTTGGCACTCCTCTCCAAACGGCGACACCACGCCTACTAGAGGATTTTGAAAGAAAGATTTAACGTGCATCAACCCCTCTACACGGCGGATTTTCAGTGGCTCTTGGGCTCGAACTTATGATAAGCCGGAGCCGAGTTCTTGTTTATGATCACTAGGCCACTGCGGATACGAATAACGTGATAAACTGCATAATTAGCAAATTCATGAGTTTTGGGTACATCCTGGATGAATATGATCCTTCCGCCAATAAAATCGTCCAACCAATCATATTTATGAAGCAGTCATCTGTGTCATGATACATCCAAAATTACAAATATTTTAATTTTTACGAAAAAAATGAGAACGTTTTTTTTTTTATTCCCTCTTAAAATTTCTTAGCACGGTTTTTTAAACACCATTGACATAGCAAAATTAAATTTTATAGGAACTTTATACAGAAACTTTTCGCAGAAAAGTTCCTGTTGACGAAATTATATTCTTTAGTCGCTTGGGTTATTGCATAATTAGGAGTTTGCCTTTACTGGTTCCGCTTTTGTTTTTGTTGGTGGTCAAATGGGAATGTTTCTCACCCAGTTACTGATGCTGCTGCTTAAGAAACTTACCCTTGGAGGTTACATCTTAGGGATGATTGCTAATTATATTACTATATTGATGTGCGAGTTGTTTTTTCGCTACATGCGCTATCATCTGACGATATAATTTCTCGTACATCGTTTGTTTTGTTACGTCGAAAAAGAATGCGTATTTTCAATTTTAGTTTCTCAAGAAAGTTCAAGAAACAGAAGAAATTGGTAAAAATCATCGCCTTTTCAAATCAAATTTTAATTAACTTTTATGACATTGATAACACGTTGAAAGAAATTTGATTCGTGGTTCTAATTTTAGTCTTGATATTTTAGAATCCTTCTATTCTAGAATCCTTTTGTTAGCAAATTTTTAGTTGGGAAAATGAAAGAAAAATTTCTTCGAAATTTATCAAGCGACCATTTATATCGATATGTAATTTTTTTTTCATTTTAATTCCGTTGAGTGGTGAAGATTTAAAGGATCTGTTTGAATACGAATTTATTAAAAATGTATTAATATACATATTAAATTTAAAATGTTTATAAAATTATTCATTGATTTATCAGATCTAAAATTCTTCACCTTGGAAAACAAAAAATATGTACTACAGCTTTTATCTTAGAATTTTAACAATGTATTTTGTATTGATGCAGCATATATTTTTTAATAATTTTCCTTTATTTGAAAATCACTTTCATCATGTAATTGTTTTTGGATTCGGGATGTTAATTGTGTTGTTAATATACTGCTGTAGAACTTGTTATTGTTTATGTTGAACCTTTTGATTTAAGAAATTTTCGATAGCACTCAGAATTTAAAAAGAAATCTAAAACAAGTTTGAATTTAACATTTAAAATAAATGACTCTAATTCAAAATTGCCCCAATCATTGCTACTCTGCCAATGGTGACGTAATAGAAATGTTGTTAAAGAAAATCCTTTTAAAAAATTGATTTGAGAATTCAAAACAAAAAGTATTGAATGAATTAAATTTTTTGTTCAAAAATAACTCGCTCAGTTTTTCATTGTTCAGTTAAATTGAAGTTTTAAAAATAGCTTATAATATGAAGCGCTTAAAATATTTCTTTTTTTTTTACTGGCATTTGCTTCAAAGATGTTTTTGACTTCATTTTCTTTGTTATATACGTATATTAAAGCGCTATTATCACAAATATTTTTAAAATCAAATAGAATTCTCCTTATTTACTGTTCTTTACGACTGTATTTTGGAAACATCTTTGCATTCATATACTTTTCTTGTTAGAAAGCAAATATATTTTTAATCTGTATAAAAACCAAATTCACTGTTTTATTATATGCATAATAAAATCATATTTAATAAATGTGTTTTCCTGTAAATTTTTCTCATTTGATCCATGCCGTGGATGTGATCTGACCCCCGTAACCATTGTTCAAAATTACCAGATTTGTCTCCCAAAGTCATTATGTTGCTTCTAATTGTGACATTAATAAGCAACAGAGATCACACAGTCAAATGTGAGATAAAAAACCATGATGATTCTTCATCCAATGATTCCGCTAAAAGCTTCTTGCCATTCTAAAGAAAAAGTATTTCAAATCAGTATTAACTCATGCAACAGGTAAGGAAAAATAATTTTGTATTTCTTTCATTTTTCATACATTACTTGTTCTTTTTACTCTCTTCCCCGGGTGGTGACCGGAGTAGAATAGTCCCAACGCAAGTTCCTGCGTGTCGTAAAAGGCGACTAAATTGATCAGAAGTCCTCTGGAGCTCTGGCAATCGTCTATTATGACAAGTGCAATATATTTATTAATAATGTTACCGCGTCCGGGGTAGCCGACGCGTTGTGTTCTGATGTCCGGGAAGTATGCTACGAGGACACTGAATATTCTTCAACTCAACATTAATGGAACACAGAGGAAAATCGACGAACTATCCTGTTTCCTTCATGACAATGTTCATGTTGCTTGTCTTCAGGAGACTTAACTCAATCCCAAGATTAAGGGATGTACAGAATTATGGAGAGATCGAACGATAAGCACTGTAGGAGGCCTTGCACTTCTAATCATAACCCCAACAATCAAGTACGCCGAGGTTTTACTATCTAGAAACTTGCATCTTTGCACTTTACCATACACGACAACAACACTAATAGAATTATAACAGTACCCTATTTGTTTTATGATTATATCGCTCCATATGAGACAAATTTTATGCCACTAGGAATTTTTAAAAAAATGATAAACACACTACAACTTATTCTATTAAGACATCATCCTTATCTTTTTAAAATTACTGAGCAATAAAAAGGAATATTTATGAATTATTGTTAAGAAAAACGATAAACCAAAAGCAAAATATTCCCTACCTCTTTCTTTATACCTTGATCTAATTTTTAATATTATATATATATATTGTTCTAACAAAGAATAACCCCACGCTGAAAACTAGCCATGCCGAAGGCACCGATGCACGTTAAATATGTCAAGGCTCAAACGTCCACCCGTTCGTGTGGTGTGGAAGTAAAGAGAGCGGAATGCCAGCACAGGTGTCATCCTCGTCACTTGCCAAGGTTCAAAATAACGAGGTTTGTCGCTAAGAGACCTCGAGTAGCTAAATAGTGCGACGTTAATATTCACTCACTCAATCACGCAACCAATAGCGCAAAACCGGTTTGTGGAGGTTCGAACACAAATATAAAGATGCCAACATATTTGGCGACATTTTTTGAATTGGCGAAGTATTTTGCTTTAGGGGAATTGGTTGACAGCCCAATACTAAGTATCAAGATTGCATAATAAACTTCATAAGTAAATCCTTAAATATTTTGCACAACTTGGACAAATATGGTCATTTCCACACAAAAAATCAATCAACCAATCGTATAAATTACCACGAAATTCCGAGCGCATAGTTCAAGGATTAAATGTTTGATCTTCAAGGTTTATGCATCTAAATGAAAGTGTGGACGATTATTTACAGAAATAGTGTTAAGTCTGTAGTCATAATGCACCCGAAACTATAAATGTTTTAAATTTTACGTAAATGAAAGCTTTTTGAGCCCTTTTTTAACTATCTCAGATCTTCATAGTATGACTTTTTGGCGACATCATTGGCATACTTAAATGGCTATAAAATAAAAACATAAAACAAATTTGAACATTTTCACCAAAGCCGAGAATTTGGGGTAGTCATGTACCATAAATTTTATTGGTGAAATTGTATTGTCTTTAGTTTCTTTTGTCAGCGGATTGCCTTTCCTATTTCTACTTTTGTTTATTCTGGTTTGAAAATAGAAATGTTTCTCGTCAAATTATTGCTAATGCTGTTTAAGAAACTTGTGCCCAGAATTTTAGTTCGAGGAAAGATTCTTATTTATATCATTATATGGATCATTAATGTTTTATATATTTTCAGTCCATCTGAATGATGCAGTTTCTTGGATATCGATTTTTGTTATGACGAAAGAAAATGTATATTCAATTCTATTTTTTTAAAGATGAAAGCTCAAAT